TTAAGATGTTCCATCAACAATTTCGTTTAATACAATACATACTTATGATATATTATTACATCATGAATAAGTTATTGTCCTGAAGCTGATGCATAATGAATATGGCCTAGTATTAACATAAATATTCCTTTATATAAAGAAATATTAATAAATGATGATGTGATATACCAATGTGAATGTCGTGAGAAGGGACTTTTCCAATATTGATTTAAATTATAAATAATGGTTATTTTCAGAATATTGCAATATAATTCACTGTTATTGAAGAAATAATCCGAGTAATGTTTTTAAGTTTCCGTTGTAGTGACATTCTCACACGTAAGGGGACAGATGCCATTTTGAACGGTTTTGTCTCGAATATTTGTAAATAATCTTCAGAAGTGCTAGAAATGTACGAAAATCGCATAATTCCTTAAAAAATATCTCAAACTAAGAATTGTTTTTCATATTTATATAGATGTCTTATCTATATATTTCAGTGTCTCAGGAAAAGTTGAGACGTCTTTTTAACTTTCAAACGCGGATAATTCTTGACATACATGAATTTGAAGGCTCAAATTTCGACGGTGAGCTGTAAACACTCTTACTGATTGGCTTAGCTAAAAATAAAATCTAGTTTCGGAGACTGGGGAATGTTTGGTCAAAAATGGCACATATCCCTTTAATAATATGATACCATTTAAGTGAACTTAATTTTTTTTTTAGATATAATGAAAAGTTATATAAAACGTTATGGTTTTGTACGTTGAATTGAATTAAAAGCCACGAAAAGGATATCCTATCCAGCTTGTCCAAATGGACCTTCCCGAATATTCGTTCCAATGAACAGCTGGGTCAACGGGAATAGTGATTTCTTCATGTACACACGCAGATTTCCAGACGAAAAACAACATGAAGCCAAAAATAGATATACCATAAACAGCCCAGGTCAGACGTTCGAGAATCTATTTAAGAAGAAATTACATCTCGATATGGGGTTCCATAAGGTTGATGTCCAGTCTTCGTTTACTGTCTAATGACAACAGTTGTCATAAAATTACTATTTACTACATTGAAGCAGACTGCAGATCATTGAATCCCTGTATATTTTCATTATGTCAGATTCCTTCTAGAACGGAAATAGAATATCCTTCCCCAGAATATTATTCCAGAAGCATTATATTACTAAAAATAAGCTGGCACTTCTATAGTATTTCTCTTAGTACCAATGTCGTGTATCGAAGTTGAAGTGTCTGCAAGGCGTCTATACCTCTCACGGAAGTAACAATGATTGCTTTTCAACAAATTTTGCATTCTAAAGCATTTTGTACTTCACCACAAGATTCCATATATTTTCGAAATATAACTTATGGGTTTTAAGCATCTTTTTTGTTCATTTAAAAAGACAAGGATTATTTGTATTGGAACTAAATCGCTTGCAGAGCAGGGCATTCTCACCCTTCTATAACACTTAACACCACCAATAGACTTGATTTAGTTTGGTTCAGATCAACCTAAAACAGAACACACTGCACATTAGTCCGAAACTTTTGTAAGAATGCTTCAAATCAATTATATTTTTCATAATTTTTCTGTTGTAGATCCTCTAAGACCTAATATATATTACGTCCATGGCGATCCCCAATGAGAATCTAAGGGCCATATGCAGCGCTCGTACTTTACCTAAACTTTGACTAACGTTAGACTAAAGTCGAAGTTTAGGTATGCACCGGTCGATTTTTACGAAAGTTGTGCTTAAATTTGACTATCAAATGTAGATAATGAAAGCCTTTATCCTAACTTTGTAAAGTTCGACTTTAGCCAAATTTCAACTTTAGTCAAGCTAAGAGCGCTGCATACGGCCCTAAGGCTTTTTTTTACCTTTTTTGTAACTACTTCAAGGAGGCCTAAAGCATGTCGCCAATGAAATTTGTAAAACTATTGATAGAACGAAAATAACTAATCTTTTATATATAATGACGTCATTTCTTCTTCTTATAACATGGTTAACTATACCACTCTGTCTGTCACCGCTCTTCATATAAATTAATAAGGAATCTAACCCACTGATATCATCA